TTCATCGCCGCTAACCGCGAATCATATTTAGCGATGTTCCGATGCTCCGATCGCTTCGCTCCCGCGAAGAATATAACTCCCGCTGAAAAATTCACGCCGGCTTACGTTGATTTCGGCGACGTGCGTTCACACACACGCGCGGCGTCCGCGCGATATCAATCTTCCATTCCGGTAAATGTCAAAGTTTCCGCCCGTTATTTGCGGTGGTCTCATTACGAATATATACACGCGCGGATTTTCGTGGAAAACCGACAAGAAATTAGCTCTATCGCCGCTGCTGTAACTCGCGTTTTTCCATGCCCGCATTCCCTATTCCTTTACAAAAACGCCTGAAATGATTATATTTTTACTTCTTCTTTATTCCACAGCCCGCTCATACCACTCGCTTTAAGCACACAAAAGTGGTATTAGCAGACGCGGTATAAAAAGCGCAGACCCAATTTTGCAAGTGCCAAGATTTAATTGGTGACAACGCAGAAATTATGAAAAACAGGAAACCGCGTGAGAAGCTCGGAGGTCCGCGCGCGCGAGAGACGCGATTTTTCAGCCGGATAAGCATTCGGACTGGTCGCTGTCGTTGCTAATAAGCGCATGTTTCCCTGTCGCGAAATCTCGTCTCTCTTGCGCGTATTCACCCAAACCGTTACAACGTGAGGTAGCGAGGGTTGCGATGCAAAACGAGAGAGAGAGAGAGAGAAAAAGAGAGAAAGGAGACGGGAGGCAGAAGGAGGAGGGGAAAAAAAAGAACGGTTCTCGAATCAACTCGCGTCCGACGACTATTTGTCACGCGGCATGGCCCGCCGTTTCTTCATGAGGTGCTCGGTTTACGCATTAATCCAGCTAGATGAGAGAAAAAAAATTGTGCAAACAGCGCTTCAACGTAGGCAGCCGCTGCTTTATCCTTCTCCTCCTCGCTTTTCCACCCTTCCTTCCCTTTGTACTCTCGCCCTTTCCTCCACACCCTTAACGCATGCCGTGCAACGTTCGCGCGAGTCGGTATGACACGCAAGCTCGTAATTAAGCCGAGCTTTAATTTATCGCTTGTAATCCGTAATTGTCAACGGCGGGGGACACAAAAAAAAACGTCGGGAAATAATAATGCTAATTCGAGCAAACACACGCCGAGTCGCGCCGAGATGGAGAGACGGACTTAATGGCGATTACAATAAACGGCGCATCGGGTAAACGATCGAATATACGGCAATCGTTAGCGCGGACGAAATTAAATTCAGTGCGGTCTGACGTGGATGAAAAGACGAATAAGTCTTGATGTCAGTCAAACGCGCCGAATTGAGCAAAGTCACTCCACATTTCGGTGAATTGAGCTGATTGTACTTTTTGACGAAATATCATGCATAGTGTATTCTTTTTTTTAGCACGCTGAATGCGCGAGGGTTTTAATTGCCGTTATTTAATAAATGAACGCGAATAAAAGTATAAATAAATGGTCTTAAATGATTGGATTTAAATGTTCGCTTTAAAATCCATTAGTTTTCTCCCGTTGTATATCTAGTTTATTATTCGTCTGCACGCAGATAGTTTTTATCCCCCCGCTGTAAAAAATTCAGTATGAAAAACGTTTTCGTACTTCCCACACCATTACGCTCGCACAGAACGTTTCGGTGAAATATTAAGCTGATGAACCAAATCGATCGAGGTATACGACACAATAACGAAGGTACGTTTAATCCGCTTAATCCGTATATGACCAGCGAATTCTAAACATAAATATTTCTGGTATTTTTTTTTGTTATATAATTTACCTCTCTATCCTGTGGTATACTTTTCTAATAGTTATAAAGAAAATATAAGTTTGAAAGGGATACCTTCTAAAGGCTTAATACAGCTGCTCGTAAACACAGGCGTTTACACTGTGCCGCTATTGTCGTTGTAAAAAGTTTTCGGTTACGGCCGCACACATCGCCGGCCGTAGACGGCGCCGTCGAGACTTTCGTCGAGAGGTCGTGAGAAATTAAAGTTTCGCGAAGGGAACTAGGTACGGGATCCATAGCTCTCTCTCGTCTGACTGTTCCTTTAAAGTCCGCCAGTCGTGGCGGGTAGGAATATTGCGGTCGCCAAGGGAAATAAATCGTGCGATATGGGCGACCGCGCGCGGATTTTACGGCGGAAGGACCGACGACTCTAAGAATGCATTTCGGTTTCCTGGCGCCCAAATTAATCCGCGCGCGAGAAACGTTCGTTCGTTCCCTGCAGTTCGTTCTTTCTTGGAGCGCCGTTCGCGACCGTCGCGATAGACGCAAGTAGTTTCGCGAAGAAAACTTCGGTAGTCGAGAGCGGCTTTAATCGAATAATCTGTGAATTAAATTGCGGTCTGACCGTCTGATCTGCGCTACCTCGAGGCGACCGAAAAACGTCGATTTTTTAGTCGCGTTGAAACCATAGTAAATGTATATTTCGTATATACATAGGATATGCGAATAGATATAATTAATATACGAGAATTAAATGCAAATGCAAAGTAATGTTATGGCGATTTCCCAAAACGAACTTTAGCTCTGCAGAATATATACTAGTGGAAAAAAATTGGCTAACGTAAAAGGAAATGAAAGTTAATTTTGAAAAAGAGGATATAATGTACAGAACATTGCAAAAGTTCGATTAGAATAGGATATTTTTTTGTGATTTTTATGGGAAAAAAAATGTTAACTGTCCTTTTCCATATGCATGTAGTCAGCGTTCAACCAGACACCCTTTTAATAGATGATTTCAACGAAACACATTTTTATATTGCATAAACATTGCTTTAACAGCATTAATCTCACGGCGCGATATTGATTTCAAACCAGTAAATGGAGAATGCTGTATTCGAAAACTGCTAAAAGCAAAAAAAGTAAATAGAATAAAATCGTATTTTGAAAATAAAAGCGAAGTAGCGGGATCTGGAGACTAAACCCCGTATATATGGAGACGAAATCCCGAAGTAAAGATTCGTTGGACGGTTTTGTCTCTCGCGGAAACCGATGTAATTTCTCGCGCTTATGCTTTGCCGGGGGGGGGGGAGTTCACCGCGATTCGATCGCTCCGAAGGCCGTGATGGCCGAATTGAAATTCCGGGGACGAATGCATCTGAATGCGGACGCTTCGGCATTCGATGCAACGCGAATGCATCACGTACGCGCCAACTGCGGAGCATCGTGCGTAGGAACGTGCCCGCGGCCACGTACGCACTCTCATCCCTGCGTCGCGTCGCGTCGTCGCGTTGTAGGGGGCATCAGCTCAGACATACGGGCGGTGGCGGGAGCGGAGGAGGGACGGGAAGGCTAAGGGACGAAAGGGAACGACAGACGAATGCCCGGTTCGGCCAAGCGAAAGAGTAAGCCCGAGAGCGAACCGGACCGGAGAGCGAAGAGCCGACATCTCGAGTGCAAGAAAGCAGATGCATGTAGGACGGAAGAGAGCGAAAGAGAACACACGCGCGTGTATAAGGTGGTCCACGCTTCGGTGCCGCGGTCACTTACCTCTGACTTTCGGCCGCCATATAAGGCGGGAGGGATCCGTTCGTTTATTTTCGCTTATTAGCTTCCACTTTTCTCTTTTGAGTCAACGTAGACGGATCTCGAAGGAAGAAAGAGGGAGAAAAAAAATAGTATAAGAAATAGAATGAACTTGTCATATGTATCAATATTTTAAATTTATAACAAAAGCGCTTTTAACATGCATTTACAAACATTTAAAAAAATCTTGTTCTCTCTCTCTCTCTCTCTCTCGAGCTTACTCTTGAAATTTAATTAGTTTCTAATCTCACGTTTTGATTGTTTATATGTTCTCGTCAAGTTCATGCATTTAGAAAAAAGAATTAAAGCGAATATATTATAATATATTATAATATTTAATTTTAAAATGTCATATAATGATAATTAAATAATTCAGATGTACAACAAAAAATTGTGTCAGTAATTCTCACGTTCTCGCTCGGAGAACTCTTTTGCTAATTATCTCTCATTGAAAAATCTTTAACTATACGCACGTCGAAAGGCCATTGCGTTATAAAGTGTAATATACATAGGAATAATCCGACAAAAAATGGTCGCGCAAAAGCGAACGTGTAACACACGAGCGAAAAGTGAAAAACAGGAGACAGGGGGAAAAAAAATAGTATAATTAATATACTCTCCCCATACTTTCCATTCCAACCCTCTCAATTATCGGCGCATCCATTCTGTCAGTGTCGAAGTGTAGTTAATGAAAGCGAACAAGTCGGATCGCGTCCCCGTATAATACCGCGGTGATGCGAGAGAGCGAGCGGGTTTGCCGAAAGCGATTGAGAAAGAGAGAGCGAGAGAGAGGGGGGAGGAAGAGAGGGAGAAAGGAAGGAGAGAAAGAGAAGAGAGAACCGACCCTGCGGCATAGATGTGTTTAACGGAGACGGAAGCAGAAGTACGCGCGCTGCAACGTGAGTCGCGCGAACGGCGAATGCGAGGACGAGAGCGCGGGAGAATCAGCGCTTGCGGCGTAGCGCGGCGATAGAGCGAGAGGGAAGAGGGTGAGAGTGGTAGGGAGCGCGGGCGCTGCGAGTGGGGTGTCTCGCGCGCGCCGGCAAGGCTACGCTACGCACACCGGTCGCAGCATCCGTCCCGTGTCAGTCGACTACCGCGTTCCGTGGCGTTTGGTTGGTGTCGTGCGCGCGGACGGGCGAGAAGCCGGGTCGCCGGACGAGCGATCAACGCGTTCGCAACATTCCGGGCCGGAGCATAGGGCGATAGCAGAATTATACACTTGACAATTCAATCTCTAGTTCTGACTCCGAGATTAATCGCGCGAGAGAACTCTGCACTGAAACTTCAACAACGTCAGTCGGCTGTAAGTCGGCGGCGTGTCGCGTGACTTGTCATTTGATGTGCTGCTCCGATTTGTTGTGAACAGTTGTGCACGAGAGAGATTATCCCAGCCCCCGATTCCTTCCGTGACTTCCTGCGCCGTTTCATCGTCGTCATCGTCGTCATCGTCGTCGTCGTCGTCGTCATCGTTGTCATCCCGGAGCTCGCGGATTCCCAAGGACTCTCCTGCCATCGAGTGGTCGCCGGCCCCGTGCGGAGTAATTCAATCAGGTATGTGATTTTTTTTAACGTACCGTACACACGTGCGCGAAACGCGCGCCTAATGTGACGCATGAGTGAGCGATATCGCGCCGGCTGACGCGAAACCGTCTCCACTTTGCGTCTCCGAAATGGTCCCGCAGTTCTCTCGTCGTCGGACGAGAGTACCGAAGTTTGAACAGGATAGGTACCATTCTCAGGAGATGAATGGCACACCGCTACAGCATTTAATGCCGTTAACAGTGTGCGCCGCCGTTAATTAGTAATCCCCGTGTTCGGCCGACGCCGTGCGCGGTGTCGATTACGAGTAACGTAAAACAGTCGCGTAGGTATACATTGCTGGTGTCGTAATTAATATTGCAAATTCCGTTATTAAACGCGGCAATTTCGCCGACGGCGTAATCACGTACGACCCCCCGAGTGATGTAAACATGCAAATTAGTTGTTACACCGGGCAATATCGTCCCGGAGACATTCCGAACTCACCGGTTACTCTAAAATCCATGAGTCCGCCGCGTGCATTCTCAGTTTTTTTTTATTTGCGGTCTCATTGGTAATCAACGAACGTTAAGAATGATTAAGTGCATTGCGCAAAAACTCACGTTTATAATGATTATACATATATATATATATATATATATATATATCTCTCTCTTAAAGAAGAAGAAGAATCGATGCATTCCCGCGTGATTATCAAGAGGGGGAAGATCGATCGTTGTGGGACGAGATCTAGAATGCAAGTCGAGTTTAACGAGTTGAAATGACGAATCGTCCAGTCGCGCCGCCGCGTCCGAAATGACGTAATGCCGTATCAACGCGTTCGCATCATAAGCCACCAGTGCCGATGACCTCAAAACCGTCTCTTTTTCCTGGAGAACGCGGGGGTCTCTCCCCTTTGCCCCCGTGCGTGATGGTACCGTTTATCTTTCAAGCGCCTCCACGCAACGCACCCGGCAAACGAGTCCCTCGTCGCCGAGGCAACAGCATTTCGATCGTTTCTCGAAGAACGATGGGCGCCTCGTGTCGCGGTTCAAACGCGATGATAATCCGTTTCGTTTTTTTTTTTGCGACCGCATCGCGACCCACGCTTCGTTCAGTCGTTGCGAAATTTTTATCTCGCTATCGAGAGAACGTTCCCGTCGAGAGAAACCGATACGCGTATACGTTTTACGATCCGCCCGTTTTACGCGGATTGTAAAGACGTTTGCCATTAACGATTACGACGACCGTTCGCCTGGCAATCGCGTCGTTGTGATAATGCCGTAATAATTGACGCAGCCACGTGGCCCCCTTCCCACTTATTACGTTACAATAACATGCTCCGCGTCGCGTGCGATACAAATCGTGGGATCGTCCTGCAGTTGACTGGAGATAATCAACCTTGAACGAAAATCGCACCGTGCGCAGCTGCGATTATGTCACGCGTTACGTTTCTGCAAATAATCTGCCGGCCTTGCCACATCGGCCGTCGAATTCAATGGGATGTAATTATGTCGCGCGTACACGACAGCTCGTGTCACGAGAGGGAAAACCTCGGTATAATGAGAGAAAAAATCTCTTGCACAATCGTTTGTATTTCTCTTTATACGAAATTCTAAAATATAATAAGTATTTGTAGCTTTATATTTCCAAATTCGCGATACTTTTACGTCATAAATAAAAGTAGGGATGTTTCAAGAGAAATATAAATCTACATTTATGCAATCAAGTCAAGAGAGAAAATAGTTTATCTCGTAAAAAGAAGCAACGTTTTCTTTAACTGCGGATTTATATTTCTCCGAAAGCATCCTCTTTAATTAGGGTATTCGAGGGTAGAACTCTCGGGATCTCTTCTTACCTCATCAGAGCATATTGCAAGCATGTGCGATGTCTAATATCCCGGAACATATTTAGCTGGCAAAAAGACATCGACCCTCGGCTCTTATTTAGAAGTTTGAAAGTAGCCGTTCACTTCTTTTTTCTTCCTGAAATTAGTTCACATTTGCGTCTAAATTACTTACGGTACCATCAAATTGACGCTACCGACGCGAAGTTTCAGCAATATATATTTAATGAAAATGCGGTGCGCCTTGTCTTAAGTTGGCGCGCAACTTTTTGAATTTTGTTAACCGCAGATCAACTTCCGGCTCTTTCGCTCGTACCGACACTTCGCAACATTTTTTTTTGTTTGTTCTAAACCTCGCGCGGCTACCGAAAAAAAAGAAGCGTTTACAGCGGGATAAAACAGTGTAAAAAAAAGTGTCAGAACTTTCGGCGTTTATAACTGTCGTTTTTGGCGCAACGAGAAAATGTCACTCGTCTCGTAAAACGTCCCAGTTGTAAAAATAACTGAAACAATCAATTTGTAGGAAGCAGTTTTGACGTGTAGTGTAGACTGCCCTGTCATCGATCGTTGTTACCGTTTCACGATGGATGTGCGAGAATAAAGAACTTTGCTTCATCGCGCGCAATTCTCCTCCGTCAAAAATTGTGTATATGAAACATATACCGGGTGCGCCGCGGAATCTCCGGTTTTATTCACGAATTCTTGGCGCAATTGCGAATGGCGACAGCTATGAGAGTCATGCCAGATGTAATTTTCATTTTGGCGTCACCGTAGACCCGACGTAACGTTAAAGTTATTGCGAATAATATCAAATGTAAACTTTGCAACAAATAACGCTGCACATTTTGCGTTTGCTTTCCGCAAAACGGAGCGCATTCTACCGCGTGTTTTTCGCTTCCGTTTCTTACATTCTATACAATATGTTTGCTTCTTTCTCTTTTCCCCCGTGTCCTTTCACATGCGAGACATATGGCTATTACATATATATTCATAAATTTCAAGCGCATAGACTCCCCGCAAAAGGTACGAGGACAATTCTGGCGCTCGCGGCGGCACACGGCCTATAAGTTATTCTCGACGACGCGGGTAATTCGACGGGAATTGCTTTTAAAATTTCGTAATGCGTCGAAAAGTCGTTCGATGCAGTTAGGGTCCATTCTCTTTTATGCTTAACGCGACGATACGAGCCACTGCATTTTCCCTCATGCGCTTACAGCCCTTGTATTCCTCGTCGGGACCTTGCTTACCGTTTGCCGTTTTATTTCTTTCTTTTCCTCCTCCCCCGCCGCGCGAGTGTTGCTCACTCGACCACCCCTGCCTTTTCTCCGTCGCCTTTCTGCCGCTGCCGGAATCGAAAGAAACCCACGTTTCCAGCACGTGTCGCTCCTCGTTGCTGCCATTCTCGCGCGTTCGTTACATGTCGTCGAGTGCGCGCTCGTGAGTCTCACGAAATGTTAGAGCCGGAAAGAAGGAACCCGCCGAGAGCGATACCGGATAACGGGCGTTCAGTTTGCATCTCGCCTTGTTGCAGCTTTAGCACGTCGCTTCGTTCGTATAGTCGATTTTCGCAGTGACACGTTTCCTCTTTGCATCTTGTAATCACGTGAATATAAAAGCTTTTATTTGTCATTGTTAAACAACACGTGATATCGTCTGTTTCGAAAAACTTTAAATTTCGACAAAGTGATATCGCAACATGAGGAATAAATTGATTTACGATGCAAATTATAATATGATAAAATTGAGGTGATTGGCAGAAATAAAATTTAATTATTTGACTGATCGTCGATTTTACAACTAATTATTTATTCATAACAGCGAGCTTTTCTTAAATTTATGTAATAATGTGATTGTTTGAACATTTTTGAGATGATAATACCAGTGGCGAAGCTATTTTGCCAGGAATTTTTGTCGCGCCACGTAGATAGATAATTCATGCGAATATCGACCAGAAGCAAAACGATAGAATTTCCTGTTACGAGCCAATTTAACCCCACAAAATCGTTTCTTTGTGACGAACAACTTGCACGCACTTCCTCCGAAAGCTGAATTGCATGCGTGACACGTACGCCACCCTTAGTAATTACTGTAACGAAACTTTGTAATAAGCCTTTGATCGCGCGGGAATCGAAACACGCTTATTTTTTTCATTTGAATACTGACTTTTTAGTGTTCACAAGTATAATTGTATTCGCGAGAATTTTTAATGCCGACGAGTTGTATGTAGATTAAAGTTCATGAAGAGATGTCGTACTGAAATTACATTAATTAAATTATACGTTTCTGTCTTAATATTTTTACTTTTATATAAAGAGATAATAGAATACTGTCTTCTTCCTTCTTCGAAATAATATATTTTTGCTCAGAGCTGGGTAGTTAATTAAACGTGCATACAAGCACTGTAAGACACGGATGTCCAACGTCAAAATCTGTTTTGTTAAGGGCCGCGTAGCGTCCTGTTCTCATAAACATCCCCCCCTCCCGCCCTCCCCCGGTACGCGTACTCTTCCCGGCTTTAAAGCATGTTCCAGCCCGGGCTTTTACGACGAGAGAAATTTTAAGCACGCCATCGTCGTGTTGCTGCTCGCTCGTAAATAACGACTCCCATTGGATTCCGGGACTCGATCTAGACCGGTTGCGTTTGTCCGAACCGCGTGGATTAAAAAAAAAAAACTTCTGTTTTATTCGTCGCGCCCCGATCATGAAACGATGGGATAAAAAAAGAGCACGACTGAACGGCCGCGAGATTGGGCCGACGCAATCGGGGAACAAATCGCAGCCGGGGCGCGAAATTAGCTGAAAAAACGTTGCACTCCTTTTTTTCTGCGGTTCCGTCGCACTCGTCCACCGACTGGCAATATGTGTTAATTTCTGTACTATTTCGCCTTTTTGCTATGTCAGCGTAAAATGTTATTTGACGCGAACAAACTTTTCGACTATTCAACCAATTATTCTTCCCCAGAGCGCAGCTGTTTCCTGTGCAGCGTTTGGTGTAATATTTTTTTCTAAAGCGTCGCATGCAAACGATATTGATAGTAGCGGATGCGGGACGAGATCGAGTCATTCTATTTCAACTGAAGTCTGACCGAGTGACGTGTGCGCCGATAAGAGGAAAATGACATAAACGTATGATCTTTGAATGTAATTGCTATGAGGAGAAGAGTTCATAGTATAATTTTAGCGCGGA